TGCAACAGCTTTTCACTGAGCAAAAGGAAATTGGCGCCAAGCTGTAGGCAAGAAACAAGAAGGGGGGCTAAACATGAACCTGTTGGTTTCTGTGAGCTATTCGCTGTTTTGTGTCGAATCGTCTAACGGCGAAAGCTTGTAGCATGGTTCAAGGTCGTACGTATTCTTGGTGGTCCTTGTTCTCTTTAAAGCTCTCTTACTGTCCAACTGCATGATCTTGAGCATACTGGAATGCTTAAGAAAGATTGCGCAAGAGTGACTCACGACTTCGATATTAAGGTTAACCCTTTTGTGAGCCGAAATGCAACGAACTACAGTACTGGGTCGATGCGTATCGACCCGATGGTGTCGGCGTGGAGGTCTTAAGCAATTTCTAGCTGATTACAACTAACATGAAGTACGGTATTACTATTGTACTGGTTTAATAGCGTGTGAAATGAGCATAAAAAATGGGTATACTCTAGCATTTGCATTTACTAGCGGTACTCGCTAAGCTCCTCATGGAAATGGTCAAGAGCCACCAGCATGAGTGCATACGGAATATTCTGTTTCATGACCGTCGAGCGGATAAAAGGTAGACCCGCAGCCACTAAAGAAATACCAGCACTAGTCAGGTCATCTTCGCGCTGTGTCGTCAATGCCGTCTTGATCCCACAATACATGAAGAAGAAACTAATAGCAGCACAACAGTAAATACGAAGGATAATCAGCAACACCATCAAAAACACTATAGCTTAATTGCCAGATCCTCACCCTGAGAAGGCTCCTCCTGTTGTAGCAGCTCCACGTGCGATCGAGCTCAACGCAGCAGGCGCCAGTTTTCCGTGCTGCTTCATGTACTGCTTCGCTCCATCAACTGTTATTCAACCCACACCAGTATTAATTAGAATACAAGTTTATAACAATGGGTTTACATCATCGTTGCCACGTACTGCCCCCGAAAGTAGCGCCAGTGACGAAGCCCACTAAACTGCCAAAGATGAGCCGATTACGCATGTTGCGCAGCGCTGCTGGCTCCGTCAGAGCGCTCAGTCCCATGCTGCTTTTGTTTTCATTGGTGTCCGCCTTCTCTGCCTTTTGCGTCGCGGCGGATGAACGTTTAGGCGCCTCCGGCTCGTCGAATGATGACCAATTCTGCGAGTCACCCATCTTGCTCCTTTGAGGTCGAAATTGAGCTCGTTGCAAACCCTCCATAATCGCATTCTTCTATCTTCACAAATTGGTACTAAATCTCTTATTTAGTGCAAATAACTCGCAAAATTCGCATTTCTAAAGAGCTCAACATGATGCCTTTGGTATCTCCTCCGCGCACGGCGTCTGCGCCTTCGTACCGGGCTTCGGACGCCACCCAGTCCTCGTATAATGTATACCAAGCTATACCGGACTTCACCGCGTTGCACTCAGACCCGCGGCCGCGTCAACACTTCGAAGAAGAGTTCGCCCCACTACCGCCATTCCGTCCCCGACACCGCGTGACGGTTCTGCGCCAACCTCGCGGCTGCAACTTAGTGCGACCCTACACTTTGGCCGGTGAGATCACACGCATGGTGCTTTACAACGGATGTAGCGCCGCGCTTAGCATAACCGCAGCCTTAATAGTCTGGGTGATGGCAGCTCTGTCTGTCCTGATGATACCTCTCTGCGGTTGCGGTGTTTCTGTCTTTAACGGATTACTACACGCAGTCTTCAACTTATGCTGCACTGACGCCTTCATCTACAATGCATTGGCTGCATCCTCTGCGGATTGTATTGACATGGACCTGGCAGAGTGGGGAGTCGATGTTACAAGTAGTGAATTGCACCCTTTGTTGCCAATTCGAGTGCCCCCGCCAATCGGAGGAGCCGGAGAACAAATGTTCGAACCGTGTCCGAGATTCGAGAGAAGTCTGGGGACTCCATCGCCCAGATCGGTGCTTGCAGTGGCCTATTTTGGCTGTTTCAAGCTGCTAGTCGGCGCAGGACAAGTGATTACTGTGACGTTGGTGCTGGGAGTTCTCGGGTTCCTGATTGGAGATAAACGCGTCCCAATTCATTTGGACACACTCACGGTGCAACATCCGTTCGCAGTGTACACGACGACGTTCGGGTTGTTGCTGATAGCGCTGGCACTGCTCCATGGGATGACGAGGGTGTCCAAGCTTGTCACGCGGTTCTTCTGCTGCGACGCTGTTCGACCAGTTGGGACGAGGGCGGTTGTAGATGAACTTTCACGGCCTAACGGGCAGACAATTGAAAGAGGGGAACGGACCCAAAGTGCTCGAAAGACGCAGCAATGCCGTCGACGACCAGACAAGTTGGGGGACGACAAGTAAAGAAGACGCTGGCGTGCTGCAACGGCACTTCTCGGCCCGTTCGCCGCGTCTTCGAGCTATCCTGTTGCAAGCACCAAATCTGCTTCCGTTGTCTTTCCAAGACGTGCTCGAAGGCTGTCAAGAACTCGATTCTGCCAACGTGCTGGAAGTGCGATAAGGAGATCGCGTTGAAACAAGTGGAGCTGGCTCTAAGCCGCTCAGAGTTCGCGTCATATATGGCGTGGTACCGCAACGAGGCGTCTCCAACCGCAACTTGCGTCAGCTGCGTCGTCAAGAAGAAGCGAGACGAGTTCCGAGTCGCGCCCTGTGGCCACAACTATTGCCAGCCGTGTCTGCTACGAATGTGTCGCTTAGCATTAGGC